GGGGTGTAGGAGAGTGCTCTGGGCTGGGACTGAGAGGTTTGGAGGGCGGGAGAGGGATTAGGACTGGAGCAGGGGGCTGGGGCATGGCCCAGGAGGTGAGGGCTCTGTCTGGGGGTGCAGGCTCTGGGGTGGGGCTGGGACTGAGAGGTTCAGGGTGCAGGAGGGGGCTCCAGGCTGGGGCAGGGGGTTGGAGTGCAGGGGGTGTGAGGGCTCTGGCGGGGGGTGCAGATTCTGGGGTGGGGCTGGGGATGAGGACAGGGCCGATGAGAGTTGGGGGGAAGCCGGTACAAATTACCAGGGCCCAGCAGTCCGGAAGGGGGCCTGGGGCCCGGCTTCCCCCCCCCCGCCTCTCGTCGGCCCTGTTTAGCCAGTCCGCCCTTGCTGGGGGGCCCCAAAAAAATGTTTCACCGGGGCCCAAACCCGCTCTTGGTGGCCCTGGATGAGGGTTTTGGGGTGCAGGAGGAGGCTCCGGGCTGGGACCAAAAGGTTTGGAGGGCGGGAGAGGGATTAGGGCTGGGGCAGGGGGTTGGGGTGCGGGGGGAAGGGTGAGGGCTCTGGCTGGGGGTGTGGGCTCTGGGCTGGAGCTGTGGATGAGGGGGTTGCGGTGCAGGAGGTGGCTCTGGGCTGGGATTGAGAGTTTTGGAGGGTGGTAGGAGGATCAGGGCTGGGGCAGAGGCTTGAGGCATGGGAGCAAGTGAGGGATGCAGGCTCCGGGCGGCGCTTACCTGAGGTACCTCCTGGAAGCAGCGGCATGTCCCCCCTCCAGCTCCTACACAGAGGCATGGCCAGGCAGCTCTGCATGCTGCCCCATCTGCAGCCACCACCCCCGCAGCTCCCATTGGCCGCAGTTCCTGGCCAATGGGAGTGGCAGAGCTGGCCCTTGGGGCAGGGGCAGCATGCGGAGCCCCTTGGCTGCCCTTATGCGTAGGAGCCGGAGTGGGGACATGCCGCTGCTTCCAGGAGCCACACAGAGCCCTGCTGTGCTGTTGACCGGACTTTTAACAGCCCAGTCAGTGGTGCTGACCGGAGCTGCCAGGGTCCCTTTTTGATGGGGCGTTCCAGTCGAAAACCGAATACCTGGCAACCCTAGTTCTCACAACAAATGTTTTGGTGGCCTCTGGTGGCCACTGACACTTTTCCCTAAAATACTTGATTAACTTTAGGAAAAACAAATAAACAGCACATATACACATCCACATCATTGTAATTTATTTATGTAGGGTTTTTTTTTTTGCAGGCTCAATAGTAAAAATATTACTGTGAAAAGTAATATTTGTAGGTTTGTTAATATCTATCACTTTTCACAGGATACTTAGCAGCTATCTGGAAGGCTGTGAAAAGTGATACTTGCATGTTTGTTAATATCAATATTAAGCCCTGGATGTGGGGGTTGGGGGAACACAGGCAGAAGCAGTGGGGGACATGGTAGGTTGGATGTGGGCCGGGGGAGACAGTAGGGCCCCAGGGCGATGGAGGGGGGAATGCGGGGCCAGGAAGCCGATGTGGTCCAGGAGCGATGGGGAGGGGGTACATGGATGTGGGGCCAAGAGAGAGGAGGGTGGACAGTGGCCGCATTTGAGAAACTCTGGTTTGGATGATAATAAGTTTATCTAGTTGCATAAAATGGAAACAAATTTGGGGTTTGCAACTAATCATGGACTACAGTCACTTATGCTTAGTCCACACTTACAAGTTTTGCCAGTATAGCGATCCAAGTATCACTATACCACCAAACCCCTACTAGTGTAGGGTGGGTGAGCAAAATAAGTGAGTTTGGCAGCTCAGTGAGCAAAATAAGCTATACAAGCAAAAGCACTTTTATGCCAGTACTTTTATGTGTTTGCCCTAAGGCTTTTGCTAGCATAGAAATGTTGGGTGGTGAGGGTGTCAACATGCTATACTGTCCAAAGTTTCTAGATTAATCTTGATCAAGATAGACTTTTATTAACAATATTTTGTAATGAATATTTTCACTGTTATTGCACGTACCACGGCATCTGAGAATCTTTAAGACCTTTGCAACACTCTGCAAGGCAAGTATTATTCTGTAGATACCAAAGGCATTTGATTCCCTCTTCTGAATCTGAGCTTCCAGTATAAAACCAGCCAAGAACTTTCAAAGCTCTAAATGGTGTTTTTTTGTTGACATTTTTAAGGTTCTGGTAGCCGTGTTTCATGCTCAGACCAACTGCCAGGACCACAGGACACCTTTTCATACCATGGTTGGATCCTTTCTGAGCAGTTAATGACAGAATTCCTACAGGGACTCGACCTCCTCTTCATTGTTTGTGCTCTTCAAAGCTGTTTTGCATTGTTTTCTGGCTTCCCTGTTATGGTTAGTGTCTATTAAAATCTGGCCAAGATTAGGTACTTAAAATGATATTTGAGCACCTACCTACGTGGCCTGATTTTCAAACGTGCTGAGCACTCAGCAGCTCACATTCACTTCAATAGCAACCTATGGTTGCTGAACCCTTTAGAAAATCAGGCTACTTATTTAGATGCCTATTTAGGACATAGGAGCCTAGTTGTATGTATTGTTTTTAACAGGAGAATGTATTTAAATTCCAGTACCCTGGTTTGTTTTTCAGCCAATGTACTGAACACATAATCAATATGTTCAACATGTTCTTGGGTGATTCCTCAAAGCGCTATTGCTCAGTATATGCGAGTGGTGCACTGACCCTCTTCAAGGCCAACTGGACTGTCAAGTTTCCACTCTTCACTGAGTCCCACTTGGGCTTGAGGTGTGGTTCTCCCACTCTGACTTTGAGTCACTGAGAGGTGTGCCATTAATGCCAGACGCTTTGGTCCCATATACATATGAATCAACACACTTGCATTGAGGTTTTGGCCTCACAACATTTAATGTCTTTCTTTTTTGCAGCTTCCTTCTTTGTTTGAGCTCTAGGCTCTTCTTCGTTGAGCTTTCACATGCAGAGGTTGAAGACTGTGTTACAATTGTGACCTCTCACTTTAAATCCGGGGGGGGGGAGGGAGGGTGTTTCTTGGTCATGCTTGCAGACTCAAGGCTCTGTAGGAAGCATGTAATCAGTCTGCAGCCATCCAGTCTAAAGTAAAGTGGGGTGAGCTGTACCTCTTTTTTTTAGGGAGCAGCCTACTTTTTTGTTTCTATTTTGGGGTTCTTGTGTGTTATTCTGAATTCTAATAAATAAAGTAGTGTTATGTTGCAACCTTCTAGCAAGAGTATTTATGTTTTTAATCTAACTTCGCTGTGTTTGCGCCATGGATATAGAGAAAGCTTCTCTTGTTATTTGTTTTGCAGTAGCACCCACATTGTCCTTGATGCTTTCCATGCATATAAGAAAAGGCAGTCCCTGCCCCTAGGACACAATTCTATAGACTGAGTCATGCTGTCAGACACTTAGGTCTGTGCAGATTCTCATTGAAGTCAATGGGGCTCTGCACAGGCACAAAAGTTTGGTTACACGCATCCAATTGCAGTACCTAATGTGCTGAGAGAATGTGTGGTGAATGCTGCTGGATTATTTCTTTGATAACTATGAGTCATGCCTTAGAGTGCATACTCCATCATTAGTCGTTACTGGCTGGGATGCAAAGATGTCACTCTAATCTGTCAGCTCCCCAAGATTCAAAAGGGACTCTGATATGTTTGACCCATCTGTAGATTTCAACCTCGTTGGAGTTGGCAATGACAAGTTTAATGAGGCTGAGGCTTGCTTTACCCAACACCAGGAATTTTTCCAAGTCAGTATGACTCCTGAGCAGGTAGAGTTCCAGGGGCATGATTAAAGATTCTCTGGTATGACGGCTTCATGGTACTGCCAGTCCAAAGTGGCCCTAAGGACAACATAAAAAGCCCAGAGTGGAGCTCTTGGTAGAGTAGTTGCTGCCAGGATGCCCTTATGTCACACCAAACTGACTGTGTTTTTTATTCCCCTGGCCAGTTTGCAACTCTTGTAAATCAGAGTGCCTTTTAGGAAGTTCTGACTTCAACCAGGGAAAAGGGCCTTGTACAGATCCTGTAAATCAGGGGTAGGCAACCTATGGCACGCGTGCCGAAGGCGGCATGCAAGCTGATTTTCAGCGGCACTCACACTGCCCGGGGGGGCTCTGCCTTTTAATTTAATTTTAAATGAAGCTTCTTAAACATTTAAAAAACCTTATTTACTTTACATACAACAATAGTTTAGTTATATATTATAGACTTATAGAAAGAGGCCTTCTAAAAACGTTAAAATGTATTACTGGCACGTGAAACCTTAAATCAGACTGAATAAATGAAGACTCGGCCCACCACTTCTGAAAGGATACCGACCCCAGCTGTAAATGGGTTTTAAGCCACCATTGCACATGCACCTAACTTGTGCTGTGTACACTTTGACTATAGCCAAAGATATGGCCTATGTTATTTCTAAGTTCTTATGTCCTCCTGGTTTCTGGAGGAAGCCTGGCAGCAGGCTTAAAATGAGAAAGTTTGCAGTGTGGTGTAAATATATCTAAATGTAGGCTTTTAAGTAATCTGCATAAAAACTGTTTGGCTATTTTCTTCATTTGTCTGCATCTGTCTTAAAAACAAAATCCCTGTATAGCAGCTATTTCAACCTATTGAAAGACATGCTGAAGGCAGACCAGTTTCCCTGCAGACTCTTATTACCAGGTATATGTGGTGCTGAAAGTAGTACCTGAAATTCTCCACTAAAAAGGTACTCTGAGTTGTAGTCTAGTAACATGATTGTGACTAATCTGATGAAACGCTTCTTTTGGGCTACTCATTCCATTTGTGAACGTTTTTCTGGTGGTAGTGATTTAGTTTGCAGAATGCACTTAATGAGGCTGTAGTGACTCATTCAATTTTCATCATGTTTTACAAGGATAAGTTGGGTGTTAGGGCTGCATTCAAAATTGTTTCTGAAGGTGATGATGAAATGTGTCTTAATGAGCCAATCATCTTGCCAACATTTGTCCTGGGCTTGTATGTGCTCATCCCTCCACAAGTTCAATATCAATATGTCCTGTTTCTTTTTTTTTTTTTAAATATGGAGTGGTCTAAAGGTTCCACAGAGCTTTGTTCCTTCTGACATTAACGCATAGAGCTTTGCTACATGACCAAGAAGTCCATTTCTAAATGGCTCTGATTGCCACTCTCACTCCTATGGTCTGCTGGGCCTGTTGCCTGTTGCTCAAAGGTCATTCAGAGGAGAGGCTTTGGCTTCAACCTCATTTGTTTTGGTACAGAGGGTTTCAAAGCAGCTGTACAGGCTCCTCCCACATTTCCAAAACAATACTGCTTGGATTTGGAATCCAGAGAGAAATCTGGTTTAATTTTTGGGGGGGACTGCAGAACCCAATTTCTAACTAGGTTTATCCAAATGTTCCTGCCCCTTGAGTTTTCTATTTGGGGAATCTCTCTACTTGAGAGTCATATTGTAAAAACATTCCATGGAGGTGTTTTACTCCCCCCAAACATAGGAAATTTTCAGAAGTGTCATCTACTGGGGGGAGCTTCAGTTTGAGTGCCACCAAGCTTGAGATAATTCTGGGATTTTAGGCTAGGCACCCCAAATCAGGGCACTTTTGAAAATTTTAATCATGGCTTACTGGAGGTATGTTATCCCTTCATAGTAATTTTTTTAAAAAGCTCTTGGTTCATATGGTTTTAGGCATGCTGGGTTAATACAATTACTACTTCTGCCTATTGCAGTTTATGACATTTTAATTTTGGGAGACTGGAGTAAAAAAAAATTGCTTATAATTTTTGTTCTCTGAACATTCAATTAGCACTGTACTCCTTTTACATCATCATATTACCAAATAACAGCACTAAGCAAACCCTAATGGTAGCTTAATTATTAATACATCAGCCTTCCCTACCTTGTGTTAAATGATTTTCTAAAGTGGTCTTATAGAAATGTGTTTTATTCTCAAGATTTGATACCTCATTTGCAATCAAATTCTGTCTCCATTTTGCTTCTTCCATTACATGTAAACTGATACATGGACATTTGTCTTCACAAGTGATTTCATATGACGCAAGCACATTTGGAAATTCTCCATACATATTTCAGGCTAATACTTAAGCCACTATATTGGATTTGAACTTCTGTTTCTTAAAGAGCTCCTTCAGCTGTTGTTCAGTTGTTGCTTCTTTCTGCTGCATCAGCTCTGCAGCTCCTTTAGTCACTCCCCAGTTATCTGGTTTTGACATTGAAGGACAGTATGGCCTGCCTGAAGCAGGGAACAGATTCTCCCAGTACTCTTTTCTTGCCCTAAATAAAAGAAAAATGTTTAATATTTTTAATGACGGAGTCTGAGGAAATGTTACAACAGTCTAAACTATTTTAATAACTAGATCAAAAGAGTCAGTGGATTTAATTCATTTGCATAAAATTTAGCTCAATATGAGGTCTGGATAGAGAAAGAGATTTATGAAGTTTTTTTTTTTTTTTTTTTTAAAACACAGCCAAAGTGCCTTCCATTCTTTTAAAGCAACATTTTAAGCCACTCACCAAATAGGTAGCATGATAGTCTATATTAAATCTATCTTAAAAGTTGCTATGAATTACTTTCATGTTAATCCAAACCAAAATATATTACAATTCCTTCATTTTAAGGGGCCTCTCTAGTTATATGTTCCCAAAACCAATACAGATGCATTGAATTGTATTAAATACCAACAAATGAGGAGAGGGGAGTACAAATGGCAAGACCAATTCTGGTCAAAGTAATCTGTGAAGACCCATTGGGCTAACAAATTAAAGATCATTAGTGTAAGAATGTAATTCTTTTAACATGCTATAAGGCAGTTGTGACATTTCACTCCATATTCTTTATGAAAATATGCTTATGATAGGACATAACTGCGATGTACTTTATGCAAGATGGGTCTTGTAAGATATCATTGGAAAGGTTATAATTTATTGAATGTGATTATCCAATGTGTATGTCTGTATTGTTTCTGTATCTGAAGTTAGGAATATTGACCATGTATTTGTATTTCAACTATGCTACTTTGGGTGATGCCCACTGCTAACATTTCAGGTACAACAATGGAAAATCCAGACAGGGCGGATGGCCCATCACCGAAGACACTGGACTATGAAAAGGCTTGGCCTTCCTGCGGATGCACCTGCCATGACTCATGGACACTGTGATACTATAGAGTCAGGTGGTCTTGTCACCGGATACTAACATTATCTGGGACTTCTTTTAACTTTCCACTGGAAGGGAAGGGGAGTCAAGTTTGGGAAACAAAGGATTCCCGCCTTATGTAAATCCTATTTAAGGGTGGGGAGGAAGGCAAATGGGACTCCTACTCTCCATGGCCAGTCTGCCCAAGAAGAAAGATTGCTAAAGCCACCTGAAGGCAAGGCAAGGGGGGAGTTCAGACTGACACAGGGGTCCAGTCTGAAAAGAAATATAACTGGAACTCTGAACCACAGAAACTTTGCAACCTGCCTAAAACAACATTTAGGGTAAGAAATTACATTTTGTAACCTGTTTCTTAAGTATATTGAGCTTAACTTGCATATTTTGCTTTATTTGGTCAGTAACCTGCTTTGTTCTGTCTGTTATCTCTTATATTCACTTAAAATTCACTTTATTAACTAAAAACATCTTATTGCTTGTTTATAATATAACCAAGTTTATGTAATTTCTAACTGGGAGGGCAAGAAGTTGTGCATATCTCTCTCCACACTGAGGGAGGGGGCAAATTTCATAAAACCTTAGTGTTTGTACCCCTTAAAGGGAGCGAGCACCAGAGTGTTGGGGAGAGTCCCTAAGGCTGAATCTTTCCAGAGCGTAGCTCGGTCTCTCTGTGCAGCTGGGTGTGGCCCTGCCTGTGTGCTTGGTTGGAAGAGACTTGTGAGCCTAAACCAGCAAGGCCAGGTAAAGGGGACCCAGTCTGGCAGAATAAGCGGATTGAACCGGGGAGGCTCAGTTAAACCCCAGCACATCAGGTGGTATCCCAGAAGGGGGATCCAACCCATCACAGCAGTCATTTAAGTTTGTAAAAATTCTGAATGTCAAGTGTGTAGCAGTCTTCAAGGTAATATGGGACTAATACCCCCCGCCCCTATATCTATTTGTACTGGTGGAAAGGAGCAAGAAATGGAAGAGCAGCACATGCATTCATTATGTTTTCTCCATTATGGAGTTAGTATAGTACCTTATACTACTTGTACTTAAGAGCCATTAGTGTCCACATGACCACATTTTGTTTTAGCCTACAGATGGCTAGAAGAGGTTCCTGGGTTTTAACTAATGGCTACCAACTAATTAGTCTGACCTTAGGTCAGCGTACAGGACTAAGCTTCTTGGGGCAGGGACCACGTCTCCCTTCGAACATTATACAAGAGGGACATTTTAAAAAAAAAAAAAAAAAAGACGTCCATGTCATAGTATTATATTACAAATATAGGTCTTAGTCTTGAAAGACAGTGCCCACAACTCACTTCAACTTCAGTGGGAGTTTTTGGATTACACTGAGGGCAAGGTACCATGCTCAGGACCTGTTAGGATCAGGCTCTTATCCTAAGCATGGTTTAAACGACCTGGGGTGAAATACTGACCCCACTGAAGATAGTGGGGCCAGGATTTCACCCCTAGAGATTAGACTTGAACTTTCAAAGTTATGCTAATTCACATACATGTTCTAAGTTTCTCTGAAAGTTCCATAATCATCAAGCCATTTCACTGTTTGAGACAACACAGACCAGTGTATGGAGCATATTTAATGTGCCATTTAAGATAAGTACTATACATAATATACATACCTTGCTCTGACCCAAGGTTTGGTATGCATGCTCAAATCACTACCCCAGCTACCATGTTTCTCAGAAGCCAGTGGCAAAAATCCTCTTTCAGGGGCCAGCTCCTCAGCTATTGCTCTGATGTGATAAGGCTCAAATCCACAGCAGCCTCCAATGTATCGAATCCCTAGGTTATAGGCCTCTCTCGCATATTTTTGAACGTCCCATCTGGTGACAATTCTTGGCTCCAGAGCTACAATGATATGCATCAGCTTTAACTGCAATAATACTTAGTTTTAGCAGATATTTAGTAAAATCGCTTTACATTTTCAGCTACAGTTAATTTCGCAAACGTGCAAAGTACAATGTCACAGGCATGACTGGGCTATTGCAGTAAAGATTTAAACACTATTAACCAGGCTAGACACTACTGATGCAATATTTCATTACATTTTAGCTTTTAGGTGTTGCAATGCTCCTCTGTTGCATACTTGCCAGAAGTTTCCTTGTTCCAGAGGGATAGGGCCTGCCAAATTCTAATCTGACAAAGCCCTAAATCAAATGCCAGCTACTAGGTGGGTATTTAAGTGTAAATCAGAGAGGTCAGGCTTTATTCATATGATCGTTACTGAAAAATGCCAGTACCACTTAAAATAATATAAATGTTTAACTCTACTCAGCTTATGTATGTGGAGTAATACCATCTCAGTGCTTTAAGGAACCCAGTGTTAATCCCCACACTTCAGAAAAAATATCAACAAATGACCACTTTGTGCCTGGGGAAACAGACTTCATTACTTTAATCTACTATATCAAAAGGCTATCAACTCACCTGCAACTGGGTAAAACACACCAATAGCCCCTTGAACTTTTCTCACCTGCTTTTTGAGTATGAGCTAGGGAAAAGCAGATGTGGCCAGCTGCTCCGTCAGATAACAGGCCCAATAGACTTTCAATTCCACCTCTCACATAGCAGACTACCTCTATCCTACCCTTTGTCCCCTCTACTGCTGCTTGAGTCCAAGTGATGACAGCTATGCTTCCCTCCTCCCCCAACCATAAATTACTTGCAGGGGATCAGAAGGGCTGCATTGAGCCAATGTAGCACTGCCTCTTCCTCTGCAGCAGGCACTATGTGCAGGTGACTTAGAAGAGGGGTAAGCGCTCTCTTGTTGTTGCAGAGATGGTGAGTGGACTAGCAAAGCCATAGGGTTGAGAAGAGACTTTGGAAAGGGGGAGAGATACAAGAGGAAGAATGAACCAACACAGGAAGCGACAAAAGTGAACAGAGAAATGGGGGAGGGCAGAGGAAAGCCGGAGGCAGGAAAACCAAGAGGGAATGACTGGGGAGATGGGAGAAGAGTCAAGACTTAAAGAACAGAAGAGCAAATCCTGCAAATCCCAAAAGGGCCCTGTGGCCGCTGAAATCCATGTGGTGCTGCTGCATGAAAGTGACAGGCTGGTTTTCAGGAGGCTGCACAGGGAGCATGAACCCCCTTACTGGGGCAGGAGACCCATGGGAAGGTACTAGAGCAAGCTTCTGCTCCACAGCAAGGAGACAGGATTCCTTTCTCCACTTCCTCTTGCAGAAATCCACAGCATCCAAGCAAATTACTCAGGGTGGATGCTGCTCCAGATACCACAGGAGGTTAAGAAAGGCATATTCAGAGAATGAAAAACTGTTCTTGAAAGAATAAAACAAATATTTAAAGAGGGAGAATAATCAGTCTTGGGAAGAGTGGACATTGGGAAAAGTAGGACGAGATGCTTCACTACATGAAAAAGAAAATGGTAAGTGAAATCCAAGGGGTGTTTAATAAACAAACACTCAGATTTGTGCCTAGTCCTGTAGAGTGCACCAGGGAGAGTGGAAGTGAAAGCACAAGGGGCCCCAGAGTACACCAGTGCCCTGTATCTTGGTGTATCAGTGCAAAGATAATACAAAATGGGTGTAAAATATCAACAGAATACAGAATTTTGTACCCACTTTGCCCCAGTGTTAATGACTCTACAAAATGCAGGGCAAGAGTAACCTGAGCCCAGAGAATTTTCTCACCTCTCCCTCCTCTCCTGCAATTCTTGCCACAATCAGTCCTATGCTCAATTTGCATGATGACTACCAACTTAGTGCCAACTACGACACTAACCTCTCTAAAAGGAATGAGCTAAGAAGAGTCATATCACTAGACTTCGGCCTGCATGTTTTCAACCTCCATCCTTCCCTACAAGTGGCACTTGTAGAAGGATGCAACAATTGCCACATTCTACATCACACTCCTCTCAGATCCACTGACTCAGGCACAGTACATCTAAGAGCTCGCCACTGGGGCCATGTACTAAGCGCACAGGAAGGTATTTCTCTTGTTTTATAGAAAGTTAGCTTTATTCAGCTTTTTTTAATGTGTGGTTTAATAATGGTTTGGCCATTTATAGTATTAAAAGAAAGACTGAATTTCCCCCCAGCTGAAATGAGGTTACACCACTACCTGTACCTAACCCTCTTTAGACATTATTGCACCCTCTTCTTTTGAGAAGTAGTTGGATAGGACTTTACTGACCTGACTTTTAGATTTGTACAAAGGAGAAACTTTAGCTCTGCCAATATGCCAACATTTGTAAGCAATTAATAGGGACACAGAGGGAAAAACAGGGACACGCAACTTTTAATCCTTTAGGGAGACAGAATGGAAAAATTGGAAAAGACTGTTCTTAAAGAAGGATAAATACTGTGGCAAACAGCAGAGCAGATGCCAACTACAGCATAGCTGACAGTCTTAGAAACTGAGACCTTGCTGGCTGGAACAGGAATAATGCATCTAAACACTTCCTGTATAACATCCTGTTTGTCGGCAAAGGTGGGATACTACAGCAGACAGCCTACATTAATAATCTACCATACAAACCATTTGCAATCAAATGAGTAATTGCTCTTTTTAGGTAGCAAAGGCATTCACTGTAAACTGAAACATGAAATCCATTTCTGAAAAAATAAATCTTATATACACATTGTTTATAATTAATAAGCCAATAACCATAATAATCATGGCAACAAATCCTTCACTGACTTCATTTGATTACAACTAGTGCATTTGTTCCTGCTAGTGCACTTGAAGTCAGAGGAGTTATACCCAGGGATGAATTTTGCTCAATGAGTTCCCAAGATCCTGGTTAAGCTTCCTAGAGTAATATGTTTTCAGAACCCAGAGAGACTAAGGCAGTGGTCTTGAAACTTTTTCCATCGCATCCCCCTTACCCATATTGGAACCTGTCTGTGTGCCCCCACGAACCAGGCTCTGGAGCCGGGGCCGGAAGCAGAGCTGCAGCTGGGAGCAGAAGCCGGGGCTGTGGCCGGGAGCAGGGCCATGGCCATAGCCTGCAGCTGTGGCTTGGGGCAGGACCAGAGCAGAGCTGGGGGCAGAGCAGGGCTCCCTCTCCACCTCCCATGGGGGCTGTCCCATGTCCCCCATGCTTCCCCAAACATTCCTATGTGCCCTGTAAGGGGGCATGCCCCACAATTTGGGGACCACTGGACTAAGGCCTGGTCTACACTAGAAAATTAAGTCCACTAAACTACACTCCGGTATGAAAAATCCATACCCCATAGCAGCAAAGTTAAACTGACCTAACCTCCTGTGTGGATAACACTAGGTCAATGGAAGAATTCTTACATTGATCTAGCTACTGCCTCTTGGGGAGGTGGATTACCGATGCTGATGGGAGAACTCTACCCATCGGTGTAAGTAGTGCTTACATTGAAGCACTGGAGTGGTGCTGGTATAGTATTTCAGTGTAGACAAGCCCTAAGTTACATCCTAATGAATGGCTCATGCTTTGTCCCTTATTCCCCTAGGCTAGGTAGAGAGAGGAGATAAGATTGTCCTGGAAACTCATTGCTAGACAAACGAAGGATCTGATCGGCTTACTGCCAGCTCTAATGAACTGCTCTTGAAAGTAAAGGAAAGACATTTTAAAATACTACCTGAAAATCTAGACATTTCTAGCTAGTCTAGGATTTTTTGACGCTTATGTCCTGTTTTCTTTCAAGATAGCTTTTGTTTTCTGACTCCATAGTGTGTGTGGGGATCACACACACACACACACACACACACTTATTTTACCAAGCTTTGCTGGTCCCTACTTGAGAATACTAGCGATTAATTCATCTTCAAACTCCCAATACATTCCTGTATCTTCCACTGGAAAATGCCAAAACACATCCACCCCACTCCTTTAGCCTCATTTAAACCAGTTAAAGCACTGAACCTTACACCAGTGTGACAATGATACAGTGCATGCCCACTAACAACCCTGTTTTGGGTACACATTGTACACTACAGCCCTAGGTATTGCTAGCTTGTAGATAGGCATTGGGGGGGGGGACTGACAATTCCACAGGAAAGCATTTGAGGAACACTTTATATAGTGGGGGCTGAGAGCCATTGAACCAAACTGTCAACCCTGTAGAAGATGGAAACCACTTCAAGCTAGGGGGTGTGGCAGCACCCCAGCACTCCTTCTTCCAGCACCTATGATTTGAGGTCTGTGATATATAGAGTATTTGCTCTCGTTCACCTGTTCTGATTATTCCAAAGGATGCTTTGAGTGGTTCTGTCCTGCACATGGATCCATGTATGTGCCATAAGGGACAGATGCTATGTCCCCTACACTCATTCTCAATGCAGCTACCAGAGTGGAAAGTTACCAACCCCTCTCCTACTGAGCAGCTGCCAACCCACTTTAGGCTTGGACTCCAAGGCATTGTTATATGGAAGAGTTAAGGAGTTCAAAATACATGAATGAAAACAAAGATTTTCAGCAATTTTTATAAGTTTACTTAAACAGTTTTCCAGCAGAAGTAAAAGCTCCCTCCCCTCATATATATCCCTATAGGAGCAAGAGATGGGAGTAGTCCAGGCCTAGGTCTGGAGGGAGGCCATCCCTTCATAAGGCCAAGCAAACTTCCTCCCAGCCCTGTCTCTCCCTCCCTCAGACAATTTAGTTGGGTTGCTGTGGTAGATAGATGTCCCTGCTTTAAGTGACCAGAGTGGAATAGAGGAATGAGTGGGTAGTGGAGCACCATAGTGATGTATTTGCAGCAGAATAGCTTGCTGCACACCCTATCACTAATGAGCTTTCCTGTGTTCAGATCTCAGGAGAGCAGGAAATGCCCTGTCTGTCTGGGTACTGTCCCAGAAGCAATCCCCAGTGAAGTAAGTACATGCCACAGAGAGTGTCTGTGTCAAAGTGTCTGCTAGTCACCCTTTGACTTTCCTCTTGCAGGTGAATCTCCTTAAGGCAAAAGAAGAAAATTTAAATTGTTATATAAATGTTTAATTTTTTTATTCTATTTTCACTTCCTTTGCTCAGAGGTAGCCTGTATGTGAGTGGTCTGATAGCTGCCAGCTATTCCCAGATATGTTAAGTGAATAATGTTGCAGCCTAATTAAACCACATCCATTGCATCCTGTTTTTCTTCTGGCAGGTCAGACGATGACAGTAGCTCATGCATCTCTCCCACATCCCTCTGATTCTAGCTAAATAGGAAGAGAGAGTGTTGTTGTTTCCATCTTTTTATTATGTGAATAGTAGCTGCGTCTGTTTTCAAGGGACATATTAATTAGCTGCCATTTAAAATAATTGTAGTTTGAAATCTTTCTGCTACTGTATTAAATTCAGTACTAGTGGTAACTTTTCTGTATCTAAGAAACATAAACAGCCTGAGCCATCACAGCTGTCAGTGAAAGGTAGGCAACAGAATTTGGAGACTACACTAGGGGGACTAACTGCATTATTGCAACTGCAACACCAGCACTTGCTGCAATGGTGCTGAGTGACAGTGGTGGATGACATACAGATGTCTTAAGCACTTGTGGGGTTATCAGCACTTGACCGTAGACACATGCTGTGTTAAAGGTGTAGCAGGGGCTTGCAGAAGTGCTAGCAATTCCACAATACACTAATATCGACAAGGCTGCTGCAGCAATTCCTCCTGCACAGCCTCTTTCTACCTGCCCAGAGTTTCTTGATCCTTGTGGCTGAAGCTTCTGGACAGGCTCTGAATTCTTTTCTGCTACAAGGAATGATTTTTTTATGTTGAGTATCTGTTAGATTTGAATTAAAAAGTAGTATTTGATGTGATAGACACCACGTGTTCTATATGCTGCTTTTAGCATTCAGGGAATTGATATCGTAAGTACCTGATTTTTTTTTAAAAAAAATCAACAAATTCAGAATAAGTGAAAGAACTTCCACTCACAGCAATCCTTAGATGAGTCCCCATTAATAAATATAACAGGCCCTATAGCATGGAATCAGTGAAGAACATTTTGTTTAAGATTGCTTGTCCCAAAGCAAGAGGATCTGCCACAAGCTGGTAGGCCTATCTAGGAGAGGCATAAATAAGTCTAGTGCTGAACCAGCTACTTTTAAGAATAACGGATTTAAATGCAGACAAAGCTTTTGAGGACATTCCTACTATTCCATTAAAGTTCTTGGTTCTGCCCTCAGCACCCTACTATCCAAGCATCTTCCAGAAGTACATTAAGTGACTCGATCAACTTCTCCTGTCCTCTCCCCACATGAAAAAAGCAGCATGGGGTTCTCTTTCATAAGCTATATGCACACTATGTTATGCTTTTGTATTAGCAAATGCAAGGTCACAGCGTTCTGCCTTGCACTTTGAATGAAAACGGGGGAGGTTTGTGCTGGTTCTTGGAGTATACACAAGTTTGTTCCTGAATCTTGGACCAGCTCCTGCAAAAGCTCTATCTCCTGCACAAATAAACTTTGCTCCTGAGGCACAATGGAGTTGTCTAGTGCAACGATAAAGATAATGGCTATACTTCTTGTTCTAGAGCTTTGGGCTGTTTTATAGCTAACCTGAGCCCAGACCATTGAGCACCTTGAAGGTAAGTGCAGGGATCTTGCATTAGACATATTTGGGAAGCCATTGTAGTGAGTAGGAGACAAGCACATCAGACCTGTGATAGTCTCCTCAGCAACATGGGCTAAGAGCTTCCTTCCACCTCTCCAGAGTTCCTTGGAAGATTGGGCTTTTTGGCTGAAAGGATTAACAAGGTGTAGATACACAGTGGTACAGAAAGACAAATAGGAAACTATTGCTAAAGCTGTACAAATCCAAACAGCAAAAGCAGATTTCAGCCTTAATCCAACAGCCAGTGAAAGACTCAGTAGCTTCAATATCAGGTTAAGATACTTGAAATGAAACTAGGACATGTAACAGGTCAAATTCAGACCTAGATTAGAAAACTGACTTCACTGGTATCCATTCACTTATACCAGAGTTCAATTTAGCCCCTTTATGCAGGCTCTTGGCCAGAGAGTAAGCAGTGGGAGGGGAAAATGTTGGTTCTAATCTATGGTACTGGGAATATACTAGCAGATGACCTCATACAAGACAATGTTTCCTGAATAACCAGCGTCACCTAGCAGTGGAATGATTGCAGCGGAAATAGCCATTGTTCTCTCCATAACGGAGATGAGAATCGTTGCAGATTGCTCAGCAAAGAAAAAAGTTTACATGAGCAGCTAAGTAGTGTTACTGGGCCAGAGCCTGAACAGATGCTAAAAAGGAGAGGTGTACAGCCTAAAAATGTTTCTAAGAAATAGAGTAGGAAAAGCTGTCATATTTCTTGCTACAATACAAGGAAAAGGTCAGTTATAAAAGCAAGCTCTAAGTTTAGGAACTCCAGTGAAATGGATGAGTTTTTGAGATGTATGGAGATGGATCCTCTTAGAGAAGAGCTCTATTTGAATTTGCAATCTGAGGATTCTTGGCCACATGGTGAAACTGTTCTGTCAGTCTCTGAGCTAGTTGGAACACATTTTTGGACATAATCCAAGCTATAAAAATCTAGGATTACTTTGTCCTGTATTTTAGAGAGTCCACCCAGAGGGGCATAGCCTGGAAAGATACTGGAATAAATTATTAAACAATCAACTTGTAAGCACCTAGAAAATGAGAGGGTTAGAAGGAATAGCCAGCAAGGTCTGGCATAATTTTTTTCTTGACGCAACCTACCTAATTTCCTTTTTTGACAAGGTTACTGGTCTAGTGGATAGAGTACGTGATAGCAGTCAATGTGATAGATCTTGATTTTGGTAAGGGTTTTGACATAACATAAGAAAACTAGGGAAATGTGGTCTAGATGAGATTACTGTAAGGTGAGTGCACAACAAGTTGAAAGACTGTCCTCAAAGACTTGTTACGAATGGTTTGCTGTCAAACTGGGAGGATGTATCTAATGGATGCCCATAGCGTTAGTCCTTGGTCTGGTACTATTCAATATTTTTGATAAATGGAGTGAGAATGTTTATGAAATTTGCAGATGACACCAAGCTGGGAGAGGTTGCAAGCACTTTGGAGGACAGGATTAGAATTCAAAATGACCTTGATAAATTGGAGAGACTGGTCTTAATTCAAGAAGATGAAATTTAATAAAGATAAATGCAAAGTATTTCACTTAGGAAGGAAAATATTAGATGCACAGCTACAAACTGGGGAATAAGTGGCTAGGTGGTAGTACTGTGAAAGAGGATCTGGGGGTTATAGTGGATCACAAATTGAATTTGAGTTAGTGTGATGCAGTGACAAAAAAGGCTAATATTCTGGGGGGTATTAACAGAAATATTGTATGCAAGACACAGGAGGTAATTGTCCTGCTCTACTCAGTACTTGTGAGGCATCAACTGGAGTAGTATGTCCAATTCTGGGCACAACACATTAGGAAGGATGTAGACAAATTGGAGAGAGTCCAGAGGAGAGCAGCAAAGTGAGAAAAGGTTTAGAAAACCTTAAAAATGAAGACTGGGGGGAGCAAAGAGGGGAGGGGAAAGAGACTTGGTAAGTCTTCAAATAAGGGGGGAGGGATAGCTCAGTGGTTTGAGCCTTGGCCTGCTAAACCCAGGGTTGTGAGTTCAATCCTTGAGGGGGCCATTTAGGGATCTGGGGCAAAAATCTGTCTGGGGATTGGGCCTGCTTTGAGCAGGGGGTTGGACTAGATGACCTCCTGAGGTCCCTTCCAACCCTGGTATTCTATGATTCTAAGTTAAGGGCTGTTATAAAAAGAGAACTCTGATCAATTGTTCTCCATGTCCACTAGAAATAGAACACAGAGTAGTGGGCTTAGTCTGCAGCAAGGGAGATTTAGATTAGACATTAGGAAAAACTTTCTAACTATAAGGGTAGTTAAGCTCTAAAATAGGCTCCCAAGGGAGACTGAAATCATCATCATCAGAGGAGGTTAAGAACAGGTTGGACAAACATCTGACAGGGATTACTTGGTCCTGCCTCAGTACAGGGGGCTGGATTTGAGGACTTTGAGATTCCTTCCAGCCCGACAGTTCTATGATTCTAAAATTCATTTTGTTTAATAGCAACTGCTCTGACTTTCCTTGATTTGAAATTCTGCACAGTAGTGTACGGACTGATGCCACTGCATGCACTGATACCACTGCAGCTTTATCTTTGCTAAAAATCACCAATTTAAAAAATGGTCTATGTCTTACCAAAAGGAAATTCTGGAAGATCAATAAAGCCCTGCTTCCCACAGTCAGGGGTATGGAAAGCAAGTGGCTGAGACATCAGGTGTGCTTTCAGTTTAGCAGCCTCCAAGCCCTCTTTCATGAGCTTCACAGTTCTCAGGCAAGTCTCTGGATCAAAATGGCAGTTCACTCCAACAATAGAAGCACCTGTGAAAAAGACAACTTTCCAGTTATACCGCTTTCCAGGAACTGGGCAATGACTTAATAGCTATTAAAATTTTTAGCCAGAGTGAGGTTGAATGCTTTGCTTCCAAACACTACCAGTAAGACCACAAGCCAATCAGAGCAAAATCAAGTGGCAAGACAGGAGATCGAGACAATCTCTTAAGATCTTGCACAGTTTCAAAGCTGTCTTTTCTGTATGTGACCCATACTGCATTCATTTCCCTCATCTCCTGTTTTTCCCTCCAACTCGTACCATCACCAGTGTTATCATGTGCCCCATCCCCTTTTCCAGCACCAACATCCAGTGGCTTTAGCACACCTTTTTGCCCCCTGTGATCCTGGGACTGCTTCAGCAGCCCAAGTAGAGCAGTTTTAGGACTGCTCAACTTTATGCCAGTTGCTTATGGCTCAGTGATCTGTTCTAACAGCCACGGATTACCAAAGCATAGAGACTACCTGGCTATACCCCCCTTTTTGCAAGATGAATCTTGAGATGTAGAGATTATAAGGCAGGAAAGCCACCTGGTTACATTTATTAATTATAACCACTAACCTACCTAGCTGAGATGTGTACTTTTATGTTCCTTGTGTAGGTGCCTCAGTTCATCTCATACTCTTAAAAATATATTTTTAAGAGTATATGGGGGAGGAACTTTCTTACCAGCCTTTACCAGTTGGACAGCACATTCTCCAGGTGGTACACCATGCAAGTCTCCCTCTGGACCAATGCACATGGTAGCTGCGATTGGCTTCCCAGATTCTTTTAAGGTTTCAACAGCCCATGCAGCTTCTTCAACATGTTCAAAATACTGAAAGAAAGTAAATCTAATCTATTTTCTGGTGTGTGAGGACCCAGTCTAAGTGTTACACACTCCTTAATCTCTACCCCTCCCACCCAGGTAGATCTCAGGGCCTGAGTCTCCTCTCATTTACATTGGTGTAACTGCTGACTCCAGTAGTTACTCCTGATTTACACTGCTATAAAGATTAATAGAATCAGACCCTCAGCCTCCATCACTGGGATTTAGATTATGTTTGTACAATTTGTTCTCTGTAAACAGCTGTGCATAGCACCCCAGAGAAAGAACTATGCCTCCGAGGCTTGATTCCTTCCCTATTCCCCCTCTTGCTCCAAGTGTGTGGTCATTGGCTATTGTTTAGTACCAGAAGCAGATTATTAACCCTCCTATCTCACCAGCTCTGCTGTTCTCTGCCCATTCCTTGTCTCCTTCACTCCCACTTGCCTGCATGGCCCCTGCTTACCCTTCCACACCTGCAGTGGAGATGTGGGGAGACCACACTGGAGCAGAGATAGGAGAAAGGAGTTATGCCTCCTTATGCTCCTGTGTGGCCACAATCTGGCCCTGAATAATCACAAAGATCCCAATTCCACAAGGAATACCAAGAACTGTTATCAGCATCATTTGAAGGATTACGGGCCAAATACTGATGAACATCTTCCACTTCAATTGAAGTCAACAGGACTGGGAAGTGCTTAGTACCTCTCTGGATTTAGCTGCAAATGAAGACAAATGGCTCAATTTTCTATTCTACCTTGTTCTATAGCCCCTTTACACCAGTCTGGCAGCATAAAGGAGCTGTTAAGATAGCAGGCCTGCCCAGCAGGGAATGTTGCTGATATAGGGTCTTCCCCAGATGGACAAAACTGACAGTCAGTTCCACATCATCCCCCTCAGAGGATGTGCTGGAATGTGGCCAGGGGAATGGGACCATGCCTGGAGCACTGCTGCATCCAGCTATTATCAAGGGTCATGGGCAGCAGAGTGCAAGTTAGAACAGTGTTAAAGTTCCTCTAATTTAGGATGGTAGCGGAGAAAGCACCGGGATTATGGGGAGGTGCAAAAAAGTGGAGTGGAGCCCCATCACCCTCCCATTTCATTCCTGCACAGACCAGAACAGAGATTTGGGGCTAGGGTCTCGGTTGCACTCTACACTGCAACGTCTACCAGTATTGTATTTGGAAAAATATATCCGCTACTATTTGCATAAGAGCACAGTAGCAAATTTTAAAGGAGACTAAAGACTTCAAAACTGACTAAAGACTTCAATTCTAAGGAAATGTGATCAGCTGGCAAATTGCATCAACTGAAGGCCCTTTGTTTCTTTACAGTTGGATTTACCTCCGCAATTAAGAAGTCCACATTCTTTTTGGCAAAGACATCCAGCTGCTTTCGAAAAATTGCTTTAACCTCAGCTTCATCCCTGCCACTCAGGTATGATGGTGTCTGACTGACTCCTCCAGCTACCAAAGCATCTCCTCCTTTAGCCACTTCCTTTGCAATGTCACAAGCAGCTTCATTCACTGCCTGGCTCTGAAATATGAGAACAGACTACATCAATACTGATTTATTACAGAGATGCCTGCATTTCAGAAGAAAAATGAGTCTTAGGAACCATAATCAGTTTCATGTTTAAAATTTCAAATTAGTTTTAGAAATAGACTTTGCTTCATTAAAACATTTCAAAGTACCACGTAATGTCACACCATCTGAACGTTGTCATAATATGAAGACATTATTTTACTAACATGCTACTAAAACAATTTAAAGGTCAACATATCATGTCCTTCAGGTTAGCTAATAGGGCACATAACTATCTTACACTGCCATCTGACACTAACATTATCGTGATTGATGCCTATGGTGGTGTGTTGTTATAACAACATTTTGCTTTTATTTATAGTAGCATCTTGCATTTGCAAACTATTTTGCAAATATTTTTGATTAAACTCACAATTATACAACATTAATTTTGATAATTCTGAATATTCATCAAAAATATAAGATGGTTTTGGGATAAGCTGCATTACTAAAGAGTACCAAGTCTATCTGGTTTCTCACACTTCACCATGGATCATTAAGAAGTCTGTTGGTTAACCTGTTGTACTGGGTACCTGACTGGTTACTCACCAGTTATCACAGTATGGATATTTAAAGGTTAGTTTTTTTGTTTTTTGGTAAGTGAACTGTATATAAAAAGACAACATATTTCCAAGAGATTTTATCATACTAAGTTTTTTGGATCTCTCATAGTCAAGCCATAATTAAATTTAATTAGTATGTATACAACAATCCTCCATCAAGATACTTTATATACCCCATATAAAGATCCTCCTATGAATTTTCTGCTTATAAAATAATGCTTATATAAGCAAATACTTGGTTTTAAACAGATTCTTCTTTACAGTTCAAAAGACCACCTATGGGGCCTAATATGGATATGTTTATATATTTTTGGATTTCTATGGAAGAATGAATGTTTATAAATTGAGAAGTGTTGATTGTCTGTGGTTGTCATATCATAATTTGGAAACTCAAATTACTAAGCTGGATCTTGTACATACATCTGTGAAGATCAAAAGACATTTTAACCAGAGTAGCATTAATTATCCCATTGTAAAGATAATAAATCAACAAATTTAAATATATGGGTAGATAAAGGAAAATAGATATCAGTACTTAAGATTGGTTTCAGAGTAGCAGCCGTGTTAGTCTGTATCCGCAAAAAGAAGAACAGGAGGACTTGTGGCACCTTAGAGACTAACAAATTTATTAGAGCATAAGCTTTCGTGGACTACAGCCCACTTCTTCGGATGCATATAGAATGGAACATATATTGGAGGAGATATATATACACACATACAGAGAGCATTAAAACAGGTGGGAGTTGTCTTACCACCTCTGAGAGGCCAATTAATTAAAGAGAAAAAAAACCTTTTGAAGTGATAATCAAGCTAGCCGAGTACAGACAGACAGTTAGATAACAAGTG